TATCGTCCCCAGGAACAAAATCTGTCAGTCTGTAGCTTGATGTGCTGCCGTCTGTACATAGAGACAGCTTCCGCTTCGTCCTTTGTAAATGTTAGCAAAATATACCAATCAATAATTGTAAATCTATGTACATGAACTACAACCGCGCTCGATTTTTTAGTATTAAATTGTAATATTATTGTTTTTAGTTTAATGATACTAGTAATATTTGTAACATACTTACGTTTAGTAATTCGTCGTAAGTAGAAGCAATAAAACCTGGACGGTAAGCAACATTTGATGGAGAGATCTTGTGGTGATTTTTTATGCTAAGTGACGGGACGAACAAGTCGTGCGCCTGCTGGTAAGCGACACGCCTGTCCATAACAGTTGTATTGTCACTCAGAGCTTTAAATCGCAAAAATCTTATGGGAACTGCCACTGCGACCCTCACCCTAGAACGTAAGTTGACGAGTCCCGTGTGCCTGTAATTTCACCAGCACCCTTACCCTTCTAAAGTGGAACGCAGTAATGCTCGCATTGCTGCTTGGCGGCAGAAACAGTTAAAGTCGCAGTAGTCATGTAAATAATAGATGTTTATTATTGTCGCTTATCACACACATTTTAGCCATGTTATGGCTTGCTCGGGCATTATCTTAGTGGTTCACACTTCTTTTCCTATCGGTTTTGGTAATTATAACTTTATTATTAAAAAACTAACCTCAAATTACATCTATTTGTCAAATTTTATTGAAATCAGTTACCGGAAAGTACCCGAAACCGGATTCATCCCCAAGGGTGGCACCCCTTAGAGGTGGATGATTTTCTTCAAAATTAAATGGGACCACTATGGAGGTACCCTGTTTCCAACAAAAAAAAGAATCATGAAAATCGGTTCACAAATAGAAAGAATAGTCGCGTAACGTACACAAAAAAAAAACAGTCTAATTGAGAACCTTCTCCCTTTTTTGAAGTCGGTTAAAAATAGAATCGTGACTTTGGGTATATAAGTAAACATATTTGGTTAAATAACTCTACATAAGTACCCGGCTGAGGTTACTGAGCAGCATACATTCCAATACAACGAATTAGTGGAAACCCCCAAGTGACCTTTTTCACGACCATTCCTTTTGCTTTTTGTAGTCAAGTAATAGACATTACATTGTCGAGGGAAAGCAGCGCCTTGCTACGTATAGTAAAAACGTATTATATTTTCTTTAAAAAGTCTATTTTATTGTACAAAAAAATTAAATTCAATTTTAAATATTGCCCTAATGTGGCAAGTACAATACTTGAAAAAAAATGAGTACATGCAACATAACACCGAATAAAAAATTACAGAATTATAAAGCCGTGTTCCTTATATTATAAATAATGACCTTGTTAGTTAATTAGTTTTTACATTATATTTTATCACAAGAAACATTTTCTTAAAATATTAATCAAATTACGTATAAAATGTAACATTAATAATTATGTATATAATCAAATATTTCGTTTACGCTATTATATGTTTTATTCTTTGAACCAGTGACGCAGTAAACATTCAATAAAGTTTGTGATTTTAATGTAACTGTTTATTGATTTGGCACACTTTGAAGTACGAATTTTTAGGTACAATGCAGTTCTTGGTACATTTATAATTCGACGAACTTAGTGGGCTGTAAGTAATGTCGAACGCAATGCTATTGTCTATGTTTCGTTATCATATTCTCTAAACATGGCTATTTTGCAGGGATCCTCTATTTGAAGGCGAAGAATCATGTTACATCTACCTCCTTTGAATTCTGTCCTTTGGGATGTATTTATACGAACTTTACATTAATGCCCACCATGATTTATATATACGTAACTCATTTTGTCAAGATCTACATACTTAACATTTATTATTTCAATTTAACCATTTTGCTTTCGTGATTTTATGTTATTTAATTATAATCCACTATTATCAATATCAACATTTTTGTCACAATTTCTGAAATGTCATTCTTCAACATCGAGTATATAACCAGAAGTAGAGACGAAATGTCATTTAATTTGTTTGAAAACTATTCTGCCAAATCATTACTGTGACAACTGCGCTCCGATTGGCCAGCCCAAGTTCGAAACAATTGACGGGTGTCGTCAACTGTTTCACTTCAAATCGACTAGTTTAACTTGAGCTTTGCTATAATGTACGAAAAATGCAAAACTACATATTGCTTATTGTTGAAATTACCGATGAAATGTGAGTCCGTTTGTTTTGTAATTAGATGTTTTGCTGTTTTTCCCTGACAGCTGAACATCCCTCATTGTTAGAGATATTATCTTTATTACAATAAATACAGAATATTTTTTCACAGGTCACTTGTGGCCCTGTACTATTTCGGTTTTCTAATTTGTGATATCAGCGCAAACGAGAGTTGATATTGAAAAGCGATTTATTATTATTATTTATTTTATTATTCGCCTGATGAGTTGCCAGGGATGGGTGTCCCTTATTTCGTCTCTATTTATCGTTATGTACTCGATGTTCTTCAAATACAAGAAAGAGGAAAACAATAAAAAGGCCCTAATACTCTACCTTGTAATACACCGTACACAATTACTACACATTTAAATTTATATATATCTTAATAATAGATTCTGTAGTCTTATTTACAATCACTACGTACCGTTTTCTATTTTTCAGGTAGGTACAGCTTGAAAAATTTAGCTCTGATTTCATATTATTCCAGTTTACTTAGCAATATATAAAACTGAAAGCTAGCGTATACCTACATTCCTTCTATTATTCAAGTTAGTAACTAATTATGAAATTCCGTGGCAATACTTGTTAAGTCGTTTATTTTGGGGTTGTTTATTATTAACTGTAAAATATATATAATATATAAAATATACATAATTTCAATAAGAAAGAAGATATCCATAATATTAACCTTAGAGCTAAGTCCAAACTCATGGTACCACGATTTCGTTTAACCAAGGTAAACAACTCTTTTATGGGGAACTGTATACGTTTTTACAATAAGATTCCGGAGCATATATTAAGTTTATCATTTCCTAAGTTTAAAAACTGCATTTAAAATATTTTGATCGAAAAATCGTATTACAAAATTGAAGACTACGTGTTAGATAAAGATGTATGGAAAGACGACATGACTCCAGAATCCACACAAATTTGATTCAAAGTGTATTCCATAGCATTTAAGTTTATTCGAAAAGAGCAATCCCTAGAGTTTCTTGCTCGTTCTTCTCAGGGAAGCCAGCATAGTGAACGAGCAGTAGCTTAAATGTGACGTTTTCAAGTGTAAATTTATTTTACCTATGGAATAAATAATCTTTGGCCTTGACTTTGACTGTACAACAATTACTTCGTCTCCCAATAATTAAATTTTAATTCCTAATTCCACGAATTAAGTTGCTTTATATTTGCTTAAATAATTATTTACAAAGTTATCGTTACAATTTTTTGCGATAAGTGAAGGCGACGTTTAAATATGATATCACTTTCTAATTCTAAAGCATATCACTAAATAGATATCTATTTTATTATTTTACAATGCACTAACATACAGTATATACATTTGAGAGCATGTAGAGGCAGTTTGATAGTACGTATATCGAACAAGTATCTACAAGTTATTTTATTTTATCTAATGCTATATTTCGTTTTCACGAACGTAATTGCATTTAGCCCAACGGTTTGACCTACCGACTCTCAAGCAGAGGCCGTGGGTTCGAATCCCGGCTTGCACCTCAGAGTTTCTCGGACTTTAATTTGAGAGCAAAACATCGTGATGAAACCTGCACCTGGAAGAACATTGACAATCCTCGGAAAACGTCTAAAGTTCCCAACCAACAACCCAGCATTGGGCCAGTGTCGCAGATTATGGCCGAAACACTCGTCTGGAGGAGACCCGTGTTCAGCATGCGACGTATAAATGGGTTGATGATGAATTGCTATTTAGATGAGTAAAACTCAATACTCATTATCACACTCGTACAACTTAATTTTTGTGGGTAGTAATTACCATTTTAGAATCGCATCACTATTACTTAAATGCGAGTTAAGCTTGGTGTTTATTAATGTTTCTTTCAAAACATAAGAGACTCAAGGAACCACTAGCTTGGTCTTCACGTGAAACGCAGCTATGGAACTTATATGCGGTGTCATGGGAGAAATGTTTGCAACTATGTGGGGTGTCACCCGAGCAGGCCACATGTGATGATGCTCATGCAGCCTCTTCCGCCCTGCTCCGCGTCCGTTGATACTACGCCTTTCTTCTTCTTGCCGTTGGCATCGTAGTATTTCTCTTCCTGAAAAACGATATGCTTTATCTAAGTTAACCAAATATTAAAACGCTAACAATTTGTACAGGATCAAGAGCACATCAAGCTTGACACTTAAGACTTAAATCCAACTCTATGCCGCTTACGATAAGAACGGTCCAAAGTACAAAATGTTAAGCTTGACGTGCTCTTGACTGTAGTTAAGTTCGATCTTTTGCTGACCTACCCTTTAGGTTAATTTACCTATAAATAAAGTCCATAATGTGAGTGAAAATTAATGTATGTGGAACTTTCCATACATTTATTTTCACACTTTTGCGAAATATTTCTAAGTATCTACAAAAAATAACGAATTGTGTCGAATATATTATTATTACTATTATTGATATAAAAATCGGTCAGACCGAAAGATTCCTTCAATTCAACCTGAACTCGAACCAGCATCTGTTGCCTAACTGCAGCTGTAAGAGAGAGCCGGTTCGTGTATATTGTATACACAAGCCTATTTTTTAAATTCTAATTTTTAATTTAATTATAATTTATAATACTTATAAATCCTTGAAATAAATGTTACAACTAAGTGACAAAATATTTTTTGAGATATCGTAAAAACCATAACACAGTTTTAGAATATTGAATATAGCCTTAGTCTGCTTTTGTCAAATCTGTATTTATTTTTCAGGTACTAAAGACAAATCATCTTGGCAGATTCCAGAGAAGAGCAACACGTGCAAATGATAAAAAAATATTATCAAAATGGGTGTTCTATTGTGGTTTCCGTGGTCGTCCTTCCCAGTCGACTATTCAACGTTTGGTGGCCAAACTCGAGTCGACGTCCTTCAGTAAGCCATCAGCCAACACCCGAAAACTTCGCCGCTGTTCATGAGAGTGCTTAGGAGAACCCGAGGCAGTGTATTACGCGCGCATCGTTGCCATAATAGAACCCATTTTGATAATTTTTTTTTGCCATTTGCACGTGTTGCTCGACGCTGTAACTTGCCATGATGATTTGTGTTTAGTTACTGAAAAATAAACAACAGATTTGACAAAAGCATCCTCAACAATATGGCCGCTTTGAACTGTCAAACCTTTTAGTAACTTAATTACACGACTCAACAGCGAATTTGGCAAATCTATCTTTTGAGTCTGCCAGCAAGAGATTGTTTCTAGCCAGATTACGCTTATATGCTACTTACTACTATTACAATGTGGAAGAATTTATTTTCATTCAATCTTTATGTCTACGAAATAACAGGTTACTGTGGTGACGTAGATAGGTAGGTAAAAAACAATACAAAGATCGAACACTCAGAAAAAATTCCTTCGGTCCGGTCGGATTCGAACCGACGTCTTCTTGCATACCATGCCAGACGCTATACCAACTAAGCCACGGGACGAACCAACGGACCTCACGAATTTTTCTATGTGCTTGCGTCGTGTCTTTGTATTTGGATTTTCAACGACTGTTTAGTCATAGCGCCATCTATGAGAAATCTATGACAGATTTATCACCCAGTTAGTATCTTTACAGCTACCAATCCTGGCGAGAGATGTCGCTATTCACTGTATTAATTAAATTTTTATTGAATTGATATTCAATTATTTTTTGTGAAATTACTCCACTAGTTTGTTATAATTATTAATACAAAGATCGAACACTCAGAAAAATTCCTTCGATCCGGTCGGATTCGAACCGACGTCTTCTTGCATACCGTGTCAGACGCTATACCAACTAAGCCACGGAACGAACCAACGGAGAGTTTTAGGGGTTACCTCAACGATTTCTCCGATCTTGTACTTGGCGAGTATTTTCTTAGCGTCGCTGGAGTGGTCCGCGAAGTCTTTCGTCGCGTCCTTGCCCCCAACTTCCAAAATCGAGGCCTCACCGTCGGGATGCTGGTAATTATTTATTTTTTGTTAGGTGATACTTAAATTTCTGGAGAGTTGTGAGTACATACATAAAATTCAAGCACCTCAGAAAAACCTGGCAATGATTTTTAACACTAGGAACCTGCTGCCGACCTAATTTAAACAAAATAAAAGGTAAAAATCAATAGGTTTATCGATTTTCGTCTAATTACAGAGACGGTACCTAGAGACGATAGGCAAGTACAGATGCGCCTTGTAGAAAGCTTGCCATTCAGTGATAACATTTAATTACCTCGTGGAGGTAAGTGGTGACGTCGTAAACGATGTCCTTCACAATGATCCAGAGCTTTCTATTATCCTTCCCATCTTGCTTGGAAATCTCCGCGCGCGTATACCGGATCACTTCAGCCATGCTGTAAGAAGAAATTGACCGACAGGGTTTACATTGACTCCACGCGTCTTCAAGTGGTTTGTGAAGTGACTAGTTTCTGCGGAACGTATCAACTATATTAATCTGCCCTAAATGGGATAAGGTTTCAAAATTATAAGGTTCATTCTAAAAAGAACTTTACACTTTAAACTCTAAAGTTTGAGCCTGAGATGGACACGCCCACTCAATGTTACTAAAATGTAGTAGGTAAGTATTTTAAGATACTTTCATAGATTTCTCACAGAGTGTGCTACAACAGAAAAGTCGTAAAAAAACCAAAAACTAAGATCTGCACCACTCAGAAAAAATCCTTGGGTCTGCTGGTTCGTCCCGTAGCGTAGTAGGAAGATGATCGGCCTGGTATACTGAAGATGCTGGTTCGAACCCAATCGGATCGAATGTATTTTTCTGAGTTCGATCCAAACTAGTGCAGCAATTTCACAAAAAGTAACTGAATATCATTGGAGTAAAACATCATGATAGTCGGTAATATTATATTTAATATAATTTCTTAAGTATTTTAAGAATTAATATTAACCGGAGAAAGACAACGTTTTTTTGGTTGTTCACGTCTCACCAAGACTATTACCATGGTACAGAATGAGACAAGTAAGGCAACTCCCGCCTGTTCGACGCAGTAATGCCTACTTGTCTCTCGGAGCGTAGGGTTAGCAGATTATTTTTGTTGAACCTGTAGGTTGTAAACATAATTTGAATATTCATCACAGTGTTCTCGTGCTATATTGAAATAGCCTTTATCAAATACAGCACTTACGTATACATGTTTTTATACGGCATCGCGAATTGGAATCTCGATTATGGAAGTACAATTGTGAAATAGTAATTAAATGTTGATTCAAAAATTCTGAATTTGAGGTAAGTACCATTGCTTGAAAAACGTTAACACAACAATTGATGCCATTAGTTGTGTATCTGTATCTCTCTGCGTCGGTAAGTGTGGTCACTCCCTTATACTATGCTATTGCTGTGTTTAGTACATAGTTGATAACCAAAATGAAATATCATGCATATTACCATACCGCACTCGCCAAGACATGCTATCTATCATCAATATAGTAATTAAATAATTAGTGATAATGAAATTAAATATTTGATTGTGTAAATATTAAAAAAAAGCTTATCCGAAAAGGTTTTTATACAATAGGCACTATTTATCGAAGTAATTAACCTCTGGACTTCCTGTAGGCACTATTCGAAACCGTTTACAACATCATGAAGTTTTATAAGAAATACATAAGTACGCCGCTGCATGATGGTTTATTTAGAATGGACTGCTTCTAATCATTCAAGCCTATGTGTTGAGGAGTAGGTGTAAGTTAAATTCAAAGTAAAGTAATTTAAGATTATATTATAAGAAAAACTAACAAAAAGTGAACCGTGCTAACCAAATAGAAAATATTGCTATAGAGTAATAGAAAATGCAAAAGAGTATTTACAAAGGCAACGTGTAACGCTATGCAATGCCGGGATTTATAAATTGAAACCGTAAAAGAGTCGCCACAGGACAGGCTTGGCCTAGTGTGGGACCACCTATAATGATTCACAATACTTTCAGGCATGGCATCACGTTAGCAACGCATGTTTTTGTTAATGTTAACACATACTTAATGTTAATTTAGCATAAGTCTCTTGTTCTTTTCTCTAAAAGTGTAAATATGTTGAAAGTATTATGTTTTTATTTGTGTTTGTGATGCCAAATGAACTTATTCTTATATTCTTACATCTACCCGATCCAGCAGCCGGTCCGTAATACTAGATGTACTTGGCTGTGGTGAAGTGATTGTATTTGGCAGGTGGACTGGGTAATAACCAGAGATGGGAATGCACAGTGTATTCACTTAAATTTCAAGAAAATAATAGTTTCATATAGAGTGAACAATACCTTCTTCTGAAATCCCCGAATTATTATATTATATTTAATATGTAACCAGCAATTACTTTACTAAGGTAGAATTACTTCCATCACCGGGGGACTAGACGTAGGCTTGAGTTCCACCCCTATGTTGTGGATATTCAAAATATTCACACGAAGCGTTATGCTTCCACACACATATGGCGAACGGCTATGGAGTGGAATTCCCTGCCTGCAGACTTATTCCCTGATCGTTGTAACTTGGAACTATTCAAGGCGAGAGTAAATAGACATTATTGAGGTGTGCATGCTCCGTCGTCGACCTCATCATCACTTTATATCGGGTGAGATGGAAGTTAAGTGTGCACTTATAAATATATTTTATAAAAAAGGGTATTTAGAAAGAAAAATATGAATTAAATTTTTTATTTAGAACCATTTTAGAATTATAGAGGAAGGAGTATTCTCCGCTCAATGCTGTTTAGGCAAATATAATCTGTCTGTTCCAATTTCTGATAACAACTCACGGTAGGCGATTACAAAAAGCCCTATCGATTATTTGACATATTACACTATTTATATCTAAACTACTTGTCTCAAGAGGCACCATACACGTCATTTTTACGTTGATTCCATCACGTATATGATAAATTATGATATTATCGCTATTGCTATAGTGCCAGTGTCGTTTATACTTTTTTCTCAAGAAGAACATTTATATCTTCAAGTTATTTCAGATGGAAACTCCGCAATACTGAATCATAGTAAGATCATCTGATTACATCAAGATGCAGGTTGTCGTTTGCATTAAGAAAACAATTTTATGAATGCCAAATTCAAAAACTTTCGGAAATATTGGAGAAATGTGTGTAAAAAAACTAACGCTAAATAATTAAACAATAAGTACTGAATAAAATGCACAAATGTTTACGTTGTCTACTATATATGTAGGTAGGTTTTTGTTTCTGCAGGAAAATAGGATTAGGCCTAACATCCACCAAAACGGATATGAGATAACAGGAGGATGCCATTATTTGGACACGATAGCTCCTCTTCACTTAGTGAAAGTAATCAAATCTTTTTGATTGTTTAAACAGGTTATAAGTTTGTTTGCGGTTTGGAGGTTAAAGGTGTAAGCCGGAGATTTCAGTGCTATTGTATTAATACAAAGGGAGTCGTTTCCTGATTTATTTCTAAATTGCAGAGGCAACAACAAAATAAAATAGAGTTGCCCTTATTGTCACGAATAACCGTACAAATCAAGACAGCCAGAATGAGTATCTAATGTAGGTAATTGATAGATTAAAGGAAAATTAACTATTGTTAAATGTTAGCGTTCTTACATAGTCATCGGTACTTGACCTACGAATCCGGTAATTTTAACTGAGGGTCAGCAATAGGCCTCCAAATGGATTTTAAATTTTAACCACGCGTTTTTTACACAAAAATTTTAGAGAAAGTCACGTTCAAAAAGGACATTTTATGTTTCAAATTGTCGAACAAATTACTCTAAAAATACCTGTTTCACCACAAAGTGAAATCGGTATTTTTAGTCATAAAAACTAACAAGTGCCTATATGATGTTGATATGTATGCTTTGTGGTTCTAATAGTTGTATAATGCAGATATTTTGTATCCGTTTCGTATTTGTACAATTTACGTTTTATGCTTCAATACATAGTACTGTAGGTCTATTTATATGTATACATTGTTCTCAGAATTTGTTTTTATATATATAACACCAACTGGCAGGACCCCGCCAGCCCCGCCACCCTGTTTCAATGTGTCAGGGTGCTGAACTCGAACATTCCCGGGACGCTCCCGCTCCGCCCCTGCGCGGCCAGAGTATTAATGAGGTGTGTAATCAACGGGGTAATCTCAGAGGTTATATGTTTTATAATATAATGTGCTATTCGTATGTTACCAGTTCCGGGACTTTTGTTTGTTTACATTTAGTATTTAATAAATGAGAGAACGGTGTCGTGGCTAGCTTTTTCAATCCGCATACGGTTTTTTATAAAGATTGTTCGTGTAGTATGGGCTGGTCACAATATGAAGTATACTTTTAAATTTTTTTTATTCGTATGCAAAGAAAAATATTGTAATATCATCTATTGACTTGGGTCTCCGCGATAAGGCGCCCAAGATGCTGGCAGCATTCCCCCTTTGTATGGCTATGCTAGTGCGTTACGCGAGGTATCTGCCAGCCCTTGCTTTTCCCAAATAGGTAGGTGAAGCCGAGGTCCTGGTATTTATTACTCTTTGCATTCAACTGGTTAGTGGATATTGAAACACAAACACTATGTAACCATATTAAACAATTATTGCACTGTATACCACGGTTTTTTTCTTAACACTTATTGCATTTGGCCATTGTTACTTATATAATATATTCTTTTCGCCATTTATATTGTCCCATAGGCATGGATTAAAATTGTATATTATTATTTAATCTGAGACATCGCGGTACACCTCAACATTTCAGGAACAAATTGTGTTGGAAAGACTGAGAAAAGACTTGAGAAGACTAGGCCACCGCGGTGTCCAGTGTTATGATTTCGCTCGTTTCCTTGATTACTCTCCTTCAGGGAAAGCTTTCGGTTCGCTTCTTCTAAATGCGGGAATAACCTTCCATCCCCGACTAATCGTTCTTAGTCATTATATAAACTTTTTAAAGAAATCGAGATGTTGCTGCATTAAACTGTAATGAATGATTTTTAATTCCAGTTTTCATTAATTTGTTTGTTTATTAAATGATAAACTACCTAAGCCAGATCCGTTTACCGGTTGTTTGTTTTTATTTTGTCTACAAAATACGTTCGTCACGGATAATTAAACAATTTTAGGCGCTCCACAATTAAAAATGAATATTTGGTTATGACTTATTGTGTTTCCCCGCCAGTTAATGTATTGAAATGAAACTAGAAAAGCAGCATGTATTGCTGAAGCTCCTTCCTTCAACACACTATATTCTGATAATTCAATAAATAGCATTATCATTAAATGTATTAAATATGTTATAAACAAAATGTTTCGAAATGATAATATTAAACATTCTTACCTTCGAACTGAATCTATGTATACCGGCAAGCTGCAGACGTTTCAGACTGAGAGATCTATTGGTTATTTATCAATAAGTATAGATAATCGCATCATGACACATCAACTTATGCGTTGCACTGAATGACGATATTATCGCTATTACCTACAAACAAAAGAATTGGACGTGCTCGCAGACCAGACATACGCATTATAATTGAAACATAATCAGCCGTTGAAAGACAAAAAAATTAAAGTATTGCCCTTCAAGCTTCATTGAATATAATCGCACGACGACGGCTGCAACACTGACACTATGCAATTATTGTTTTTATTATTTTTTTATTATTGTATAATTCTAAGATTATTACCAAATTTGTGAAATTTCAAACAACCTTTAGACCAAAAAACCTCCAGATATTTAAATCATGACGGTATTCGCCATAAATTGTAAAAGCCATTATATTCATTGGATTTGTGCCTCTCTTTTTTAACTTTAACGAATTTTTTAATACAAAATATCAACTTTGACTGAAAAAAAGACTAATAAATAACAGAATGAAATAGCGCAATTGCTTAAAAATTAAAACAAGGATTCATCGTGACGCCTTCGAAGCAACTCATTTCTCTACAAGCGTTTACGACATAATTATTATGTACATATGTTGGAGAAATTGTCATGACTACGGCATAGTTCTCGACAAGGCTCCACGATTGCGGCACTGTGCTGAGCCTACGCGTGCGTGGGCGGGAACCGATTACGCTTTTCATGCCCGTAAAGAAGTTTATTGCGTGTTTCCTTTGTGGGCCGTGGTCCCATTCAACGCAAACTCGATCTAAATTAGACCTTAAATTCAAAGATTTGTTATATACTAGCAGTTCCATCCGTTGACCATAGATTTGTTGATTGTATTCAAATATACAAAATGCATTGCGGCGCAGGCTGCTAACAGATGAACTGCAGTTAATTTAAGTTAAGCCACGATCAACTTACCGCACGTAGTCGAGATTTCAGCTATCAAGTATTTCAAGAATCAAAAACAAAGTTAGTGACGTTTTAAATTACTTTCTTGCTTAATTAATTATTATATATAATTTTTGTGTCTTAAAACAACTTGATTTTTTCAGCAAAGACGATTTCAGGGTTTAATCAACATAATGGTTATAAAATATCAATTGTATGCAGTTGTACACATATGTCATCTACGCGCATGCTGTCCGTCAGGTAGCAGCATTACGACCTCGGTCTCGGTAGGAGTAATTTAAAAATGAATTTTTAAATTTTTTAATTTGTCTGAATATGTAAGAGTGTTCTGGGAAGTGTTGGTGTTGCGATTCACTCCGGGGAATTCCGTTAGTCATAATACTAGGAATTCCCTAGTTTGAGGCCAGGTAATTGGGTATAGTTGTCTGGCACTAATTATTAATTACGCAAGTAAATGTTTAAAGAACTTTACATAAAAGAAGTGTACCTACTTCAAATATTTGATATCTCTGCAAGGCTAATCGTCCGTGAAGATACCATATCTACTATTAGCGGAAATACAACTCTATCTCTCATAAAGTGTATTTTATTAGCATAGGATTTAATGTGAAATTTATTTTTTGGATTAGATAATACGATTCGTGATTTCACCGAATCTTTAAAATTGTTGCAAACCTAAGACTTGTCTTTGTTGCTTACAGTCTGGAACAATAATATCAAAATAAATACTTAATAGGCCTGCGTTCCACAGAACTTGCATGCGCACTGTCTGTGTGAGTTGTGCTTCTGCGTAGAGTATGGTATTTAAATAATTTTTATGTGGTCTGTGAATTTACCGAAAATAAGGTCTTGGAAAAGCCTCATATCATTTTAAAAGCAATTAAACGACTTATTGACTAATAACGTGTACTATACGAGTACATTGTCAGAATTTTTAAAAGACAATTCCCTAACTTCATCGTTCACCGATTATTCCGGTGGAACCGTAACATTTAAAAGAAGAAGATTTTATTCTGACGTTATTCTAATTATTTTGACATCCTTCAATTTTTATCATCCTTCAAAGTTGTGAGCCTTCTGCGACGTGCATGTTTCATCACGAAGTTTTCCTTTACAGAAAAGCTCATCGCATATTTCAAATTAAATTTAAAGCTTAAATTCCGAAACTCAAAGGTGCGGGCCCGAATTCGAACCCACGGGCTCTACTCGAGCGGCGGTAAGTCAAACCTTTAGGTTATCACGGCTAAGCAATACTTAAAAAGAAGATATTTCACTATCCAATATCCAATTTATCTGCAGACCGATTACCACAGAACGGCAATACTTTAAATTGCCTATCCCATATACCGGAGGTTCCAAATACTTTATACAGCACAATATTTGGTTTAATTAAAAATGAATTTGATAATGTATTTAAATCGAAAACATTCATTTTCCATAGAGAGACTAAATTCAAAGACTGGGCAGCAGTAGGTTGTCATAGGAATAGGTCTCGTTTGTATGAGCTATATGCTATGAAAACTAATAATACTAATTCAAATTTTATAGAATATGTCACAAATTATTCAAAAATATTTAAAAAAGTACGTGTAGCTAAGGTTAAATTTCACAGCAACAAAATTAGACAATCCA